TCTTTAAACGTAATTTAAATCTAATTTTCTTCACTTGTCTCTCACGTAGATAATATTTACATAAGCTGCGATTTGTTTACATTTCTTTATTTATGAGTATATGTGCTTTAAGTAATGCCATATGAAGTTTATTGAAATCTCATCACATTTTCTGAGAAAATAAGTAAAAAATTCCATAATTTCAGAAACGCTCAAACACCATTTTGTCGAAAGCGGTTTCAAATTTCTTCTTGAAACTTTTCCAAAGGATAGTGCTTATTGCACTGTTTAATATGTCGTAAAGATCGTGTTAGAGTATTCTTTCGTTTTTCCAAAAAATTCACAAATGTAATTTTTTTTAAATATCTCTCACGGCGTTAATATGCACATTTCCAGCTACTTGTTAACACTATTGTATTTGTGAGTTAAAGTACTTCAAATGAAGTTTTTCAAAAATTTACTCTGAAAATAAAAACTGAAAAATTGAGAAATTTTCAAAAAAATATACTTCGGGCGGCGATAGATGGCAGCTGGCGAGAATATGTGGCAAGCCCGAATAGCTACCAGAGGCCAAAGGGCTTAGATAACTAATACGGGAAAGTCTGTACAATTCTGGAGCACTAGTGTATAATCAATTTCTCGTCTAAATTCGCAGCCAGAACTTAAATGAATCCAAAGAAAGCAAATATCATTGTAAATAACAAATGTGATAAGACACACACACCTCGACAACCGCTCAATATTTTGTATTACTCGCCAAATAATCTGTAGGTATCGCTAACGCGCACAGCAGAAGTTGCCTCCCAACACTTTTCCGCCAAACGTTAACGTTGTGACGTCATTCTGGACATGCATGTGCGTGGTATATACATACGTATATACATACATACATACATATATATATATATAGTATATATATTATATATATATATATATGATATATATAGTATATATACTATAGATATATATTATAATATATATATACACACACACAGACAGACACAAGTCGGCACTGCTGGATCTCGTCATTCACCGGGGGAACACTGCCACATCCTATGATAAAATCATCCACTACACACGCAGAATGATCACAGCTGGAAACGTCAAATAATCATTACAACTAGACATAAGTAAAGCATATTTAATGGTAATTTTTACAAAAAGATGTTTTTGAATCACAGGTTGCATGTTGAATGAAATTTTGGGGGGAAGAATTTCTACCTAATGCTGCACATACAGGTCTATTACATCTTTACTTTGGCAAAGGTTTTTGGATTACAACCTTGATATTAACTACGAAGGTGACTCTCTGCACTGAATTTGCCTATAATTGACTACATCACTGAGCATCAACAAATGCTACGATTTCTAATATTTACTTACTCGCTGCTTCTTACATTTCAATGTAACAACAAATTTGACTCAACACACAAAGAAAAAGAGGGCAAATGCAAATTAAGAACAGACCATCTACTTCTACATATTTTATTTTGCATTATGAATACACAATATCACACAGGTTAAGATTCTGTGTTTTTAGAAAGAGCCTTTTATTCGAGAGAAATTTAAACAAGATCTTACTCCCATCTCAGGAAGTGACAGGTGCCGATTTGTATTTTGAGACATTTGTGCTAAATACGCTACCTGAAAGGCAGGTGAACAGGGCATATTAATTTGAAAATCATCTTCCCATTTTATCATTTAACCATTCTACATTTACTTGATACCTCAACAAATTATAGTTTGCTACTCCTGGCCATTAGTCATTTAAATGTTTCTCTACATGCTGGCATGTATCATCCAGAAACTTGCAATTCATTAATTAATAATTTTTACTTAAAAATAAATGTGTTCTTTTAGACAGAAAATTCAAAAAGAATATATTGCATTCTTATGCAAGTACATTTTTATGCCCCATATCTCTGAAACATGCAATGTAAGCAAATATATTCCAACAAAAATGTGTGCATTCTTTAATAGAAAGATGAAACCATTCTGTTTAAAGAATCACATAACTTATTGCACTCTACAGGTTCTTCTCTTACATGCAAAATAACAAATGAAATTAAACGTGTTTATCCACCAGGGGCGGATCCAGCTAACGATTTTGAGGAGGAGGGGGAACATCATAGATTTTTGTTAAATAATAAACATTTGTTATTATATTGTATATTATTTTATGTTCTACAGATATGATTCTATGCAATATTATTGTTTAAATAATCACATAATTGATATACAAAATAAATAAAACAATTTTGCTCAATAAAGGAAGGTAAACAAAAACTCTTAAGCTTTTTGGGGGGTGGGCCTAGCCTGCATGACCCCCCACCTTCCTGGATCCATCCAATAAAAAAACAACTTACTGAACTTGCTGAAACCATATGTCAGTGTCCTCCCAGACACTATTTTGGTATTGAAAATAATATTTGCAAAATTATACTTTTGAAACATTTTTTGAAGAAAAATGAGGGTGAAAAAAGTTAATGGGTTAACTAAACTTCTACACTTTTTGTATTTAATTAATTACATTGTTCATAAGGCTATTATATAAACAGATATCGAAACATAACATTAAATGAATTTCAAACAAGAAGAATGTGAATTTATGAATTCTTGCATTATTCCTCTCCAAACTTACAAATACAAAACGTATTACATTTACACCTTCGGAAAATCTGCTAAATCCAAATACAAATATAGTGTAATTTATACTAACAAAAAATTGATTTAATGTCCAATATAATTTGAACATTCATTCGTCCAAATGTGATTTTATTTCTATATTCAAACTTCTGAACTTGTTCTTCTTTAAACTCAGATTAAGTGAATCCTTTGCAATAATAATTATGCAACTGCAATTACGAACATGAAAAATTCCTACAAAGTAAATTACAAAACAAAACATATAATAACACTTGTTATTCAGATAATACATAGTTTAACTCATTCATTTTGTTTTCTTCGCCTTTATTAAAACAAAAAACCAAACAAAAAAGTGTTCTATAATTTTTAGAATGCAATAACTTTGTTAACATTTTAGAGCTTATTTATTGAATGTTCACAGAATGATCATTACTTAGAGTACTACCAACCAACTCGCAGAATACACTGGAACAAAATCGTATTTCTTATTAGATTTATTTGAATTCTTCAATTAGCTTCAACTTCAAATGTAAATACTATGGAATGAATAAATGTTTCATCATTTATAGAAACTTTTTCTTAAAACTTCCTTCACGTACAGTCAGGCCAAGAAAATACCAATAACCAAAGGAGTGTGAGCAGGGGAACTAAGATCCCCTCCAAATTTTGAAATGTGTCCTGTAGCCTTACATAATAAAACATTTTATTTCCATAAATAGGTTTATATCTAATTTCCCCCATTTTGCCCTAACAATTCGTGGGAGAGGCTCTCCAAGCTATCTGGCAATCCTATTTACGGTTCAACATAAAATTGTTTCTTAGGCATTATAATTTAATTCTAGTTGTAGTATAATTTAATTGTAAACTACAACATATGTAAATAAAAAGTTACTTGAATAGGGGGCTCATTTCCTCCCTCTTGTTTTAAGCTGGGCATGTTTACATCAATAAGGTGATTACATTACTCTGTCCAAAAGTAACTCTTATTAGTCAAAATCACTACATATAATTATAACATTTCAATAGTTCAATAATCAATTTCAGCTTTTTAATAGAAGAACATTTTCAAACTTGCCACAAGAGACGAAGAATGCGTTGCAAAAATTATATTATTTTAACCAGATTAAAATTAAGTTTGGTCTGTGTTACTGTACATGACTATTCCATTGATTTCTTAAACAAACTGGAAGCATTTTTTCACTAATACATACGCATTTTTAAAATTTACCTAATGCTGATAGTAATAGTATATCTGATAGCATTGAAAACGGGTACTAATATGAAACACAATAATTATTTTCCTTCAGAAAACCATGATCACGCACTTGATAAAAAAAATTGCAGGCTGATATTCTGTATGCAGTAGCATTCTATTCTCAAACTGCTAATACAAAATATGAGATTCCACTTGCAGGATTAAACTAATATGCATTTCATGCTTATTGTACATGTGAGCTAAAAATTTAAATTGTTTGTTAATTTTGTTACATTTGACAGTTTTAAATCAATTACTACCTTTTATAAAATTATGGTGGATATTTGATTTAATTTATTTTAATCTAAAACCATAAAAGGTGAATGAAAAGAATCAAATGAAGAAAACATGAAAAAATAATATTTAGAGATATTTAGAACCAATAGAAAAATGCCTGCTGAACAGTTTTCAAAATTCTTGCCTTCAAAAAGACTTAACTAATAAAAGATGAGTCAGCAGTATCAAATTAAGAGATAAAATAACTTAACTATACAAAAACACTGAATATTTTTTAAGCTTACACAAACAACACCTGCCTAAAACTTTCATGTAATACTACATATTTGTAGAGTATGATATTACCTTGTAATAAGATATATTGCTACAATATTTACATCTCAAACACAGGAAGTGAAATAATGTATTTTACTATCTTGCATTCTAAGTATTAAATGTACATTGACAGGACACACAGAGCAATACATTATTCAAAATTTCACAAAGGAATATGTATTTTCATGTGCCTTTGAAGATTATCTTTTACAGTAAAAGATCGAAAGCATATAGGACATTTGTATGGTCTCTCACCGGTATGAATTCTTAAATGTACAGACATATTGCCTTTAGTAGAGAAACACTTCCCACAAATATTACACTGAAAAGGTTTAATGCCTGTATGCGTCAAGTAGTGAGTTTTCAAATTGCAATTAAAACTGAAACAACGTCCACATATGTTACACCTAAAAGGTTTTTCTTGAGTGTGTGATCTCATATGATTTCCTAAATTTCCTTTGGTACTAAAACTTTTGTGGCAAATTTCACAAAAAAACACTTTCTCCATATAAGTCCAAACATTATTTATTTTTGGAATTGGATTAGAACAAGTTGCTCCTGTGGAGAAAAGTACATACATTGTATTACTTACCATACATTTCAAAATGCATTCATGAAAACTTATTTTTACTGATGTTCTAACCTTGAACAAATGTTTCCGGGAAATTGTGAGAAATATAATTATAATTTGATGCAATACTTTCATTTCCATATCTACAAGCATTAGACTGATCTTCAAATGATTCTTTGGTTTCTATTTTCAAATGATTTAATGCCCAAGCATGAGGATCAAATCCTGCAAGGTCATCCGAATAATCCTGAAAAAGCAAGTCATTTTTGCGAACCACTTAGAGCACACATAACTAGGAACGCAAAATATTTTTAATACTAACCACCGGTTCATCTTTAACAGAAGTCGCTGGCATGTCGTCAGATTCTTCGATGCAGAAGTCCGGTTCCTGTTTGATAAAAATACTTTCAGAGTGAATTTGAGGATACTCCATTTCGGCTAATTATGTTGTATTTTCATATAATTTCTTTCAAGTTTCATATCAATTCACATGTCAGAGAACATGTTACAAAGGCAACTGTCATAGCCACATTGGTAGTAAGTTTCTATAAACAAAGCGAAAAATTATAAAAAACGATAATTATTAATTGTTTCAGTTTAATTTTGCTTTCTGCATGTTAATGAGAATAATTCACAACTGTAAGAAATGTGAAAATAATCCACAATCCTACTGTCACACTAAGCCTAATTCGACCAACAGCCTACGCCATACACAGGCCATACAAATGCGAAATACGACTTCAGTCGGGCCGGTTCTTGTAGCCAATCAAAAAGGCTTTATTAACCAACAGCGGATCAAAGAGTAAATCAGCGGCCAGTTTAATTTACTTTTTACCTCGTCCAATGTGGCAATTTTTTAATTACAACTATAGGTGCTACAAATGGCACAGACTTCAGACTTCCCCGTATTAGTTTTCTCTTTCCTTTGGTATCGGCTAGATATAAAAATCTATCGCCGCCCAAATGATATTATTTTGAAATTTTCTTAATTTTTCAGTTACCTATTAATCGAACGGAAATTGTATGGAAAAATTTGGAGCAGATTTTAAGGAAATGGCGCTTAAGCGCTACAATAAATTCGAAAATTTTCTTTTCTCTTTTCCACAGAAAATTTTTTCAGTTATCGAAAAACGTCATTTGAAGAACTTAAGCTCACAAATACAATAGTGTCTCCAAATAATGACGTGAGCGATCATTCAAAGAAATTACATTTGTGAACTTTTGAAAATAAAATTAAAAAGAAAAAAAAAACGAAATGAATTTTAAGTCATATTCAAGACTTCAATTAGCACCATCCGTTCGAAAAGTTTGAAGAAAAACATTTGGAGCCATTTTAAAAAAAATATCGTTTGAGTATTTCTGAAAATGGGGAATTTTGAGCTAGTTTTCACAGAAAACTTAAGTTTTCGAGAAACTATATTTGACATTATTTAAAGCGCATGTACTCATAAATATAATAATGTGAACAAATTACCGTTGGTATAAATATTAACGACATGAGAGAATATAAACAAATACATTTTTGTAATTTTTAGAAATACAAAAGAATAAAGCAATATGTCGTCTATGTCATCTTAAAGAGTAATTTAGCAATATCTCTACTGAAAGTTTAAAGACAAAATTTGGAGCCGTTTTTGAGAAACTTTTTAAAAATGTTCGGGGGAGCTTTACGTAAAGTACCCCCAAAGTTTAAAGTGTTTTTTTCAAACTCTCAAAGATTTGACTCGAGTCAGATCGACACGGGTTTTTTCAATTTGGAAAAAATCCTATGTATGTTTAGGCGCTAGTAGTGTTCACAGACGGACGTTTGGAAAAAATCTACTTTTTCGGTATCAGAGGACCCCAAAACGTATATTTCCGTTCAAATCTCGCGATCGATTTTCCGCAACATTACGTAACTTTCCCTAAACTACGTATAATACTCCGTTTATATGTACGTATACGGAAAAGTAAAAATCGTATGTTGCAGGGGTAATGCACTTTTTATGTATTATTTTGAAGCAAAAATCAGGGGGTTTTCTGCATACAAGGGGAAGGAAATTGGAAGATCCCAAAATAAATTATACTTTATACTCTATGTAGTTAACATAACTTTGTGCCCCCAATTTCATGTAATATTCCTGGTTTCTTTTGTCCTTTATTGAAGAAAATTCAATCTTGATTTTTTTGTCCTCAGGGCATTGTTTTTAACCCCCCCCCATTTTTGACAAGTTTGCCCAGGAAATCTAGCAAGCATCCTCTTTAACCTAGAAGACTCGCGGAAATTCCCATGTACCAGAAAGGCGCAATAGATTCGCGGTGGATCTAAAAATCGGTATCGACCCCCTAGGGGTTGGCGAAATTTTGAAGGGGTTCAATAATGATGAGGGAGTTGATTCTGGGGTCTATAGCCAATATAAACGGGATAGTGACCGGTTCTATCCCGATAATTCCACAAAAATATTAATGAACTTAATAAACGCGTAAATATTTTCTGGTATAAAGAAACTAAACACTACGATAATTACAAACCCTCTCCTCTTCTTTCGAATCCATCGTTCATCCTTCGGATCTGGGGTACAGCTAGATCCTTTCCTCTGAAACGCCTTCAAAGAACATCAAAAGTGCCTCAGAAACGAGGCGCCAAATTTGAAGCAATTTGGCGGTCTATGTGCCAGCAATAACTGATGTTTCATAAAGACGTCAACTTTAAAGCTTGCAAGCTTCTGTGCTTATGCTTAAGTAAGTCATAAGAAATGAACCAGTCACAGTACGTTAACTCAAAATCGAGAATCCAAATTGAGGCGAAGTTGATATAAAAACTAACGCCGTATGGGCTATTAACACAGTCGTACCTTGGAATCGATTCTCACATCCAAGCAATAGTAAACCAGAATGTCTCACAGTCAATAGAAACTCTTATTTTGCTTACGTTTATATTAGACATTGTGAATACTTTAGTCTATCACTTATGTTAATGTTCATGTCTATGCGCTATGCTTATGTTCACGTTTGCATTGTGAATGGGCCTTTAGGCCGCAGCTGCGTCGCATTCTACCGACCGCGAAGAGGCAGAACGGCGTACGACATCCGCAGGCTGTGTATCAACTGTCCACAACGGCAATTTTACTATCGCTAAAAAATATTTCAACTAGTGGTGATACAGAAGGGCACAGTCTTTCTCCCATTAGTTAGTTTTCTAACTTCTTTACTCTGGCGTAGCTTTTACCTTGCGACATACTTTTGCCAACTGCCGTCTATCGCTACCCAAAGTAATTTTTTTGAAATATTCTCATTTTTAGGTTTACTAATAGTAGAACAGAAATATTACATTAAGAATATTAAAGAAGAGTAAAACATCGTTCTATATGAACATTATTCTTAAAAAAAATTAGCCGCTCTTAAGGAAATGGCATATAAGCATTACTGTAAATGCGAAATTTGAAATCATTCTAAACAGAAAATTCGAAGAATTTTATTTGAAGTAATTTGAAGCACGTTATCTTACAAAAAGCAAGATAGCTTACAAATAGCTGAAAATCTGCATATTACCGGCGTGAGGAATATTTACAAAAAATTGCATTCGTGTATTTTTAGGGGGGGGAAATATAACAAAATGAACCTTATGTCATATTTAACTGTGAAATAAGCACTATCAGTTGGATAGGTTTGAAGAAAAACTTTGGAGCGAATTTAGAGAAAATGGTGTTTGACCGTTTCTGAAAACGCGAAATTTGGAACTAACTTTAACTTAACGCTGTTGAGTTTTCGAGAAACTTTATGACATTTTAAATGCAATAAAGTGAACAATTTGCCGCTACTGTAAATATTAACGAAGTGAGAAACAAGTGAAACTAGTGGTGCTACAGAATGACATAGACTTTCCCGTATTCGTTTTCTATTTCCTTTGGTATAGGCTAGCTATTTAGACTTGCCAGCTACCATCTATCGCCGGAAAACCTACATTTGTTGAAAATTTCTCTGTTGAAAAAAATCATTTAACGCTTGGTGTAGCCAGAATCCCTCTTTTGTGGGTCCTTGATACCGAAAAACCAATCGACGAAAAACCACAGGAACAATTTTTTCCACAATAGATATTCCCCGGTCGATCTGCCCCCACTCGTGGCGAAGCGATTTTGAAAAACTTCAAAATTTGGAGGTACTTTAGATGAAGCCCACAGAACATTTTCAAAATTTTCTCATTTACCGCTCCGAATTGTATCTTTAAATTTCTTGAAAGAATAGAGTAAAATTCACTTATAAAGGTGGCATAGGTTCGATTTCCACGTTTAACCCTGAATTTTCGAAAATTGCAAATTTGTTTAGATTTTTTTACATCTTCTTACAACTAAAAAATTGGACATAGATTTTTCTTTCAAATAAAATTTGTTCTCCATTAAGGTCGGTTCTTTCATTAAGGTCACATACATTTTTTTAAAATTTTAGTAGTTATTCGGGCAATATGCAATATTCTTAAAATAATATTTCTGTTCTTCAATTAGGAAACCGAAAAATTAACAAAATGTCTACGGAAATGCACTTTAGGCAGAAATAGATGGCAGCTGACAAGAGTACGTTGCAAGTCCGAACAGCTAGCCCAGACCAAAGTAAAATAGAAATATAATACGAAAAAGTCTGTACCATTCTGTAGCACCACTAGTTATTTCCTTTAAAACACTGTAGCTCCACAGTCATTGACATTCTCAGGGAGTAGTGTAAACAGTCACAGAGTACCATCAAAATAATGAAGAGTTTGAAAACACTTCAATAAATACAAAATCTAGCCATTATTTTATATTGGTAGATATCTATGTTTAATAAACAATTATGTCAAAAATGATAAAGTAATACACATATAAGCCAAAATAGTCAATTTCGGAAGAAGAAAAAAAAGCAAGAATACTCTTAAAATTCATGACATTCAATTCACAACAAGTTAAAAAACTTTTAAAATGCTATGTATTTGCTCAGTAAAAGTATGTATTTTTTCTGTCAAAACATATAGAAATAAAAAAAAAAAATAGGTCCAAAAATCAGACAGATTTAATATCAAAGTTTCAATTTTAAGTACATCACAGGGTAAAAAACTAATAAAATATGTATTTCAGTTTCAAAATCAGAAATTAAATATAGACAAGTGAACAAGACTAGATGAGATATAATGGAAAGAGAGTAAAAATTACAAGAGGAGAAAGCTAAAATCTGACAAATGTAGAATTCAAGAATATTCACAAGTATTTTCCAAGATTTTTCTTGATCTAGGTAGTTTTCTACACAGAAATGAATAAGTTTACTCTAACTGAATAAGTTTACTCTACAAAGTAGAACTTTCTGTAACTTCAAGACATGTAATACTACTTTTTGCATACTTAGCATGCTTTAGAATCTGTACTACCAAGGGACGACAAACTTCATAAACCTTAATCACAAATACTTTAGAATTAATGCCTATAATGATATACTTAATTTCAATCATTTTTTGTATTGTTTTTCATCAAAATATGTCCCAGTTTTGTACAATTGAAAAAGAGCAGTATCAAACTTGGCCACTCACTTCTTTGAATTGAGTGCCCAACTATAACCCCCTATGCATTTGTGACTCAGTCTAGCTTTGTTACTTGTTTTGAGCACTGCTGATTGTGCTTGTATATGAAGTGTGACAGCTATAAAATAATATAAGGCACTGTTAAATTTGGCACCATTAGGCCAAAGTAAGTTTTGAGTACCGGACCCCCGATAAAGAAGGCAAGGAACACAACAGAATTTGGGAAATAAAATATAAAATTTGTTAGTATTTTAGAGTTTGGAACAGATTAATGAAATTTACATTATTTCTTATGGGAAATATTGCTTCAGTGTTCTTCAGACTTTTTCAAATAATAAAAAATCATGAAAACAGTGTCCACTGTAAATATTTTGTTAATATTATATTTGTACAATAACATTAATGAAACAAAGACTTCACATCGCAAAAAATGCCTCAAACAAAATTCAATAAAAATTTTAATTAAAATTTCTTTCATTAAATTTTCATACACAGGACATACAACTAGGATCATCCTACTAAGTTAGATAAACCTTCAACATCAGCTCTGCAATGCAAATGGAATACTAAAAGACACAAACAATTATATTAAAGAATACTATGTAACAGAAGAAAAATGTGAAATTGCCAATCAACTATATCTGTATTTCAAACTAGTATAAAGATGTATAATCGATCAATGCGTGTTTTTAAAACAAGAACAGTACATAAAAAACATCATCTCAACCTTTCGTTACTAATCAGTCAGTATGAAGCTTATTTGGATCAGTAAACTGGGCAGTCAAAATATAAAACACTGCTGGTAAGGGTACTAAAGCTAAGAGAGAAGCATGAAATATTGGATCTTTTAGCTGAGTGATGGCTATAATTCCATAGGCATGAAGAAGCCAGTGACCAATTAAAATTACCATATTTCTAAATTCAACTATAGTACTAAAGAGTAAAAACCGCATTGACTGATCTAACTTAAATGCAAAATGGGTGGCATTTGAAAACACTGAAATCACAATAATTATATAAGGAAATGAGTAATAGATAAGTCCTCCAAACACAGCTTGAATCAAAGCCAAAGTAGGAAAAAAATACAATGCAGCATATATCGACATTTTACCTTGTTTAGGTAGGAAATGTGCAGCAAGCCATGGACGTAAAAGTAACATTAATACAACTGCAAGAGCATAAAATATAAACATTATAGTATATAAGGGATATACTGCTTCTTGAGTACAATGAAGTGTCTCTGAATAATTTGGGTTTGGATTATGTAGCAGTGTGTACCAGTCTGATAACTTTTCCACATGACATGATCTTAAGTTCAGACTTCCCATCGGGTCTGATAACAACAAAGTTAAAAAAGCTGCAGTCACTATTTCAAAGACAGCTGAAAGATGCAGGCACAAAACTTCTTTTAAGAAGCTTCTTCTCATAGCAACAATGTCAATGAAAAACCAATGTAATATTAATGCTAATAAAACCATAAAACCAAGATATAACCAATCATAAAACACAGGACTGTCATTGCATGGCACACACGCTGAAGAAGCATTTGCTCTAAATCCTCGTGGGCAAGCACTGCAGTTGCCCCAGCTTCCGTCGGGAAGAAGTTCGCGACCACAGTACAGTCCGGGGCATTTTGACAAGAGTCCTTTATCCATTGCCAAGCCGTTTCGATACGAAATTTTGTTCCACTTCACAGAAATTGTCATAAAACACGTTTGTCGTTCGTCAAATAACGTCTCAAACGTAATAACGATTCACTGGTACTCTTCAACATTAATAAATAGACATACCAAGACGGCTCCGCACACGTATCATGCCCAATGCTTAAAATCACTCATACCCAACTCTGACTTTTCTCGCTCACCACCACTTCACAGCAGTACATGACATGCATCCACACAACTTTTCACCCCATATAAGAAAAAATAAAACAAAATAAAACCAACAACCAGAAACAATTGCTCATCGTGTGTGTAACTATAGTCATATTAAAATATTAAGTCGACTGATACTTGTCATCTGTGATACATCATCCAATCGGAAACTTGAACGTCACCGTAGTAAGGTCTCTGTACTGACATTAAACGTCTCGATTGGATAAAAGCGTTATTTCAGTATCAATGGACTCTATATTTTAATCAAAATACTGCTCTCCCGTGTCTGGCGCACACTTTGAATTACAAAGCTTGTAATAAAGCTGTTATTTTCCACCATGGTTAAGAGCAGTAACTGTAATTGCCAAGGCGGCGGGGAGGGGTCTCCTTAAGCCCTCCCTTAAATTACGCTATGCGCTCTGATCAAAATGAATAAAACTTACGGATATGCGATTTTCAAGGCTCGCCCTTCAAAAGCTTTGTCCTCATCGCATTGTAAAGCCAATTCACTGTCAAAGGCAAGTTTTCTCGCTTCGCTCGCCCGGATCCAAGTCGCGGCGAGGCTCGGGCCTTCGGTCCTCGCGTTCACCGTCTTTGAGTCTATCCACCATATAATTACAATTCACTTTTATTAAAAAAGCACTTTTCAAGAAAGCCTCCAGAATTCAAATTGCGCAGTTGTCGCCGGAGCGGCGCGATGTGCCAGTTTAAACGACTTCCGTAAGTTGTACCATATACTAGACTTCAGCCGTGAAGTTTTACGTAAATCAGGACCCAGATTTATTATATATGTATGGATATAGGAAATTATATATTTGATGCATATGTCTAGAACTTGCAATTACAATTTGCATTGGCTAGTTTTTTAATTTAAAAAGAACATTTTTGTTCAATTTTTTTGGTAGTCGAAATAGAAAATGTATGAAATAACGCGAAGTCAGACGTCATGCTTTTCCTTGTAAAAACTCCGTATTACTGGAAATAGCTGTTAAAAGTAGCATGGCCAATTAGACCACAGCCGTGGTTAGACTCAAATTTAAAAAGGCATCATTCAGGAATTAATTTGTTGAAGCGCACGGATATGTTTTCCAATAAAAAATTGAAAAATCTGACAGTGAAGAACTCTAGGGCAATTTTTATTGTATCTATTACTAATTGCGCATTAGATAAAGAATATTACATTTAAATTTCTGCGGGGGAAAATGGTTATTTTTCGGCAGAAAAACTTATTGCCGACCCATGGAAACGAAAAAGTGAATGAATATGGTTTCTGTATGAAGTAATTTACTTCATTAATCTCTTCATGTAGTCAGAATCATAATGCAATGTCAAAATCCACGTTTGGTGGATACTTGTTACTGGAAAATCGATTGACGGCCATCCGTCCAACTCTAGCGGCTAAACTGAATAGGATTTTCACCAAATTGATATTTCCCAGTCGATCTGCGTGATTTCGCGGCCCTATGAATTTGAAACCTATGTTTTAGTTGTTGGGGGTACTTGACGCCTCATGGATATTTTCAATTTTTTCTCAAAAATGGGCCCAAATTTATTTATTTAAATTTGTTGTCGATAGAGTTAAGGACGCATAAAAAGGGCGTAGGCCTCAGTTGAAAAGTCTGTATTTTCGAAAATTAGGAATGTTCATATTTTTTTACGGCGTCTTTCTACAACTATAAATAGTATTATTTTTTTATAAACAAGATTATATAATGTAGGCCTAAATCATTGCAATGACTATGATTATGTATGCCAGTTGGCAGGTTTGCACACAGGCAGAATCTCAGCAAGGCACAAACTAATATATGATGTATATCTTATACATTGGGTTAATATTTTGAGAACATTTTTATGATTTCTTTAAGTTACTGACAAAATGAACTACTGAAATGAATGACTACAAATGAACTACAAAGGGATTACTGAAAATCTCAAATCAAAGCTTTAGTGTTTTGCTTCTGCAGGAAAATGAGCAATTTCAATTGAAGACATGCTTATATTGAAACAGAAATTCCAGTCAAGTTGTTATTCATTTTTATTGTGTTGTCAATGTGTCAATTTTAAAGGTTTCATTACAAATTCAGATAAAAATTAAGTTAGAAGGCTAAAAATATAAAATAATTATTTTGAGGGGTTGTACATAATTGAAAATTAATCAAACTTCACTTTCATTGTTGTAAGAATTGTCATCAACATCTGGATGATAGTCTAAGAGTTCCTCAATTTCATTTCTTAATGATGAAACTTCATTTGTAGATATTACAGTAACCCTAAATTGAAATGAAACATAAATTAGTTTATTTTCCAAACTTTTGATCAGACAACATATGCTGAAACTTACCTTCTTAAGTATTCTTGTAATTCATTTCCATGATTCCATAAAATAAATGGAGATACTGTGCACAAACCAAAAATGCCTCCTAGCAAACTTCTCTTCAAACCTGCTGGAATTCAGTGGTTTCAGTCAACAATTTCTTACAAATACCTCATATTTTTCTTCACAAGGTACCTGGTGCCTGATAGATGAGTCCTGTAGCAGTGGCTGCTCCTGCAGTAGTTAAGTCATCGTCGCAACCTCTCTGTACCATGAGGCCCATTGCAGCTATACTGTAAATTAGAGCCAGGGTGCCCGCTGTTTGTGCCCATGCACTACCTCCTTTTATGACATGATTCAGGAGACTGCATTAAACAAATTATGATATTAATTACATCTCTAAGGCAAATTAGGAAACCATCCTCAAAAAACTTCTAAAAATTAAAATTTATTAATTTCTCTGGAAAAACTCTGAACAGTTTCCAGATCAGAGAATCCATTTATGAATATTTGGAATGGAATGTGTTTTAGTTTAATTTTTCCTTGAGTTTAAAGAGTTATATTATGTTTTTGCATAAATATTGAAAGGGTAGATCTGATGCATTTTGAAGATCAGGTACCCCTTCACATAGTTTGGGGCATAATTCTTACTGTGTTCGGCGCAACCTCCCAGCAAGGGCCAACTGATTTGCTTCTCTGTATCCTTCAAATAATCCACCAAGCACGCCAAGAGCTCCTCCCAACAAATAACTTGCTCCAATTTGTCCAAAGGCCAGTTCAAATCGTCCGCGTTCTTTCTGGTTTCCTTTCAGGTTAATGTACTCGGGCTCCAGTTTTGCCATGTAAACTAAATCATATTGATTGAAAAGTTAATTTCCTTATCAGGTAATTGAATTGATAAGAGAGAGACTCATAAACCACAATTTTAAGTTTTGCAAATTGACCATACCATGATTATCTTTAAGCAATCCTATTTCCATTTAGTATAATAGGTGTTCATATTCTAGCTGTATGACAGGAAGTTAATTTGTCTTGGACAGTTTTGGCCCTCCATTGATATACATGTGTTCACCAAACATTAAATGAGGTTTATCTCAAAACAGTATGACTTATGCTTATCTCTCACTGAGCTCTTAAATTACATGTATAATGATGGCATTATTGATGTAAACCAAAAATGATATATGTTTTGTTGATACATACCTGAATCTACCATATTTGAAAATTTCCAGCTGTATATAAGTATGAAAAGAAAGAACCCAAATAGGGCATAATGTTTCTATTTTTTCAATGAAATATAATATAGAAAACAAATGACAGTATAACACATTTTCAAAAGAAAGAAAAAAGACAAAAGAAGTACAATTCATAGATTTTTGCAAATGAGGTTTGAAATAAAACAAGGATATTTTAGCAGTTCAGCAAAATTATCTTTATTTTGGCATAATACAAAGACAAATATATGTGCATTGAAATATGATTTTTATATCAACAATGACCATCTCAAACAGTCTGAATAAATACTGTTCATAATACAATGTATAAAACATTTGGCAAGTACTAAGGGAAAATTACATTTCTAATTGGAGAATATTGAAAAATTAAATGTTTTACATTCAATTTCTCTCAATCTCCGATATATTAAAGTTTAATTGATAGTTTTGAAACAGAATTATAAAGCACTGAACATTAAATAATTTCCCCCCAAAAAGGAACAAAAGGAGCTGCATGTGACTGCATACAAAAATCAAACACCAAAAATCTACTCTTGATAAATTAAGCAAACTTAAAATAATCGTTTAAAAAAAATATTAACCTCACAATAATCTACTTGTACACTGCCAATTTGTTTTAAATAATAGCAAAGGGGCAAAAGGAAATTGAAAGTTCTGTCAAATCCTTTCAGTTTTGCAGCGGTTTCTTGAAAAGATATTGAGGAATATACTTAAAACTGATTTAGGAAAAAAATTGTACAAAAACAACCAACAACAGTAAACAAAATTATAATTTAGAAAGGCAGATGGAAAGAGGAACAACATTTTTACTTTTTGAAAATGTTTGAAAGGCAAAAATAAATGGATACACAACTGCACAGAACAAACAAGGGCTGGCCTTACAAAAAGATTTGAAGGAAAAATCTCACCCTTATATTATGCTGATCAATAGATTATTTTTGGTGAATAAAAATTAAGAAAATTGTAAGCAAACACATGCCATATTCTTTTCTTGATTGTGTACACAAGATAAACACTTTCCCAGAATTACAAGATAACGGTTAAAACAACTTCTTGAGTAGTGAAGACCAGTCTCTTGAGTTCAGACACTCACAACACCAATATTCATTTTCTCAACACCTCTGATATAAGAACTACATAGTTTCTTTCCCTATTTGTTTTTGAATACTGGTATATTTTCTTTTACAAGAGGACTTGCTGATGTGACCTCTTACTTAAACACTAATACATATGCCTTCATTTTAGAGAAATTGTGGGTTACAATAACCTCAGGGCATAGAGAACTTTACCAATTTCCCACTTCATTACACTTAAGGTTGTAGGTTCATTTTTGCTACTTCTTGACGTATTACATTTATCAGTTCTTGATTTATTAAAAAGATGAACCGCAAACCTGCCACCTGAAATATATTGATTATTTTTTATATGTCAACTGGATTCAATATTGGATATATAGACACACACACACAAAACTAACTTACCTCTACAACTGAATTATTGTTCAAACGATACTTATTTCCAGCAAGTATGGGACGACCATCTACGTAAATAGCCCTCTTTCCTTCACTTGACAGGAAGAAGTCTCCATTATTCCTAAGTCTTATTGTTCCCTGTCTTCGAGACACTTTCCAAGCTGGGCCTTCCAATGATAAATCAACATCCACTGTATGGTCATGGGTAGATCGCCCAATAGTAATCTGAAAAAAACAATGTTATAATTAAAATATCAAATGGAATAGTCAGAGACACATCTTCAGTATCTTATCACTATCTTTCCAGTAAAATGAATTCAATGATTATATGGGTGTCTAAATAAAAAAAACTTTCAAACTGAGTTGATGTTGATGAAAAGCAAATTAAGAAAGAATGATTTATCATTTTGAAACACAGGATACATAATGCTTCACTTGTTGAATTCTTCTTACATTTCTAATGATAAGTTAATTAATTTTAAAGGGTTTTGAGCAGACAAAGTATAGCACGAATTCTGGAAAGGAAAAACCTTTCGAATTGGTGTACATTACATTAAAGAAACCAAAAGTTACATCCAACATATTACCTCTTTGGAGCGCATGAGATAGCGAACTAATCTTCCTCTCAAAACAGCTAGGGTCTGGTTGTCAAAATCTGGAGGACTGATACCAGTTACAGAGTCCACGAGGACTTGCCATCGCCCAAGCTCATTTTCCAAAAATCTTATTTCTTTCTTTGATTGCCTGTAAATCAATCAGAACAAGAAGTTCAACAGAAGAAACATTACACTTACCAAACAGACACAGAAATACAATCACTAATTGTAAACAAACTAAATATAGTGAACTTAATAAATTTTGTGTTCTTTCATTCACATTGCTTCATCTTATGTAGTAATACTTGTTCTATTCAATTTGTTTTTCACCTATCAGCATATATCCACTTGAATCATCTCTAGAAAAAATTCCTAAACCTACTTATATTACACTTCAAGGCTTTATTTATTTTCCTAAATAACAAAGCTAAAAGATCACTGGCCTGGGTAGCCAAAAGGCTGAAGGGCAGTAGGCTAAGGCTAAAGGGCCGAAGCCGTCTCGTGCCTGAAAGATCATGAGTTTGAATCCTACCTGGAGAATGAATGTTTGTGCCTGTTTGTTGTTTTAGTGTTTGCTATTGTAGTGCCATCAATCTATTGACTATTGTGGACATATGCATGGAGATACTATATGAATCCTCTTCTTTAAATTTTTGATTGTAAGGACTACTCTGCGGTTTGTAAAAAATGAAGAAATGTATGGATTGTTTCGTACATTAATCTTCTTTATGTCTTTTGAATATTTATTTTAATTTCTAAATAAATTTAAAAAACCTTGTTCATTAAATAAATTGTAAAATAATGATAATGAATAATAAAGCAATCAAGATATTCTGGCTCTTTTGAGAGGGAAGAGAATTGGATCTATTAGGGGCCATCCATAAATTACATAACACAAATTTGGAGTATTTAAAAACAATCTCTCTTTCCCATGTAAGTCATATGTAAGGTGCACTTAATTAGCCCTAAATAATTAAGTAACATTTGTTACACCCACCCATTTACAGTTTAAGTAAAAATGTATAACAGGAAAAATAAAGTTTAATTTTATTAGTGACATATATTAAAATGTATGACAATTAAAGTTAGACTTAGTGATGCTGACCATACCTAAGAATAAGATAAGAGCAAGTTTCAGAGTAAAGGATGGATGCATAGGACAGACAATTTCTGACAACAAGCTGTGCACCCACTGTCATTGACGATGCATAAGCAAGATTTGGACTATTGTGCCAATTTAATTGGATTCCAAAATTTATTACAGTTCAATTGTGAATATTTTCTTCATAATCTAACACATTCAATTAATATAATCATTGATGAAAAAATATTTCCTTTTATTGTAAGTTACTTCATCATTCCTTTAATTTATTTATATTTTTTAAAATTTAATTTGTTAATATATTAATGTTTTAGAATGTGTCTGAAGAAAAGGAATTATTCCAGCAAAATGTTGAAAATATAAAAATCTATGTTATGTAAGATCAAGCTAACACCCCTACCCTATGAAATGCAGTGTAACAATGCCTTAAACCCCCTTCCCCTGCCTTTAGCATTAAATAATTTATGGACGACACTTTATCAAAAAGCAATAACGTTTTTCTAACTTTACAAACCTATCAGCCAAGGCCAGTTCCCGTTCCAAAGCTTCATCGTGCAAATCCAGTAACTCTGCATCATTTATCATTTCTTCAGCATCAGAAAAATTTAGTACATGTTCACCTCTTGGCAAAGGCTGAACTGTAAAGAAAAAAGTATTAGTGCCCACAAGAACATTCTTTTTTTCATCCTGCTTTCTTCAACCGTACCTGTCTGATCAGGAAGTAAACAATACTGCTTCATTAATTGCCAATGGGTCATCAGGGCTTTGGCAGTTCTTGCTGGATAGAATACATGACTATTCTGCTCAATCAGTTCTTGAAACACTTCAATTGTTGGTTGTGAACTCTGAACATACAGAGATAAATATTTGAGGATAAGAGTTTTTTAATCTATTTAATTGACTGTTGCTGCACATTGTTTTTTAGTGTTCTTTTATTAATGCTTTTACTAAGTTATTTTAACATGCTTATGTTTTTTAACATTCACATGTGGAAAAAAAATAGTTAAGTTGCCCTTGTAAATAAGACACTATTGTCTAGTTATCCAAAAATTAAATATTATAAGCACTTTTTCAATAGACAGTGATCATTGTCAGAGTGTCTAGTGGCCAATGGGTGGAAAAACGATGATCTGCCACAACACAAAGTAAGGCCAATGTTTGCCTAGATATCTATTTTCCTGCCTACTGGCTGCTAGCCAGCTCTGTTAATGATCCCTACATAATCAAACAGTTTTTATAGCTATCACATACCTCGAAATGTTATGAGTGTTATTACTGTAGAGGTCAAAAGTTAAAAATTGAGATGGAGCGCAGTGGAGCCAAGATTTTTAATTTAGATGAGGCAGTAATAACACTGTCACATTTTGTGGTACGATCAGCATTTTTAAGGTCACCATAAAATCTTACAAATTATGTGAAAATTTACGACATTACCACTTAATGTGTGTTACAACCACTTAACCACTTAATGTGTGTTAACACAATTAATGTAAACACAATTACCACAGCTTAAATTAAAAACTTGTACCATTTAAAATTTTGGTGTCTCATATAAGTTATCTACACTAGGAATGCATTTTGTTAAAACAGTACGTACAGATTTTACTGTTCCTAGAAGTTGTTCTTCCGCCTTGCTATACAATGTTTTACTTTGAACACTTGCAATGAGTTCTGGGTGTAAATTCCGCATTGCAGCAACAGCTATTCGAGACACAGCAGGATCATATAACAAAGCATACCAACGTTGCTGCAATTCTTGGACAGTGAATCGACAAGAGAATTTAATTCCTCGATGAACCATTCGCAGGTCATTTGTCTGAAAGAAAAGCATTTCCCTATTTTTCACACATTATGCTACCAAAGGATTTTGAATATTTTACAGTATTAATAATAATAATTACAAAATATGATAGTAATAAAAAATACATTCTACATTTTTACCTCCTACAGTCTTTGCAATAGAAATTACATTAAAATCTACAAAAATGCAAAAGAAAAAAGTTAATGTTGCTTTCAAAACATCTCCATGCATATGAAACCTCCCTTTAAAATGCACATGTTATATCAGTTGCATAACATCATCCATCAACTCATCTCCATGAAATTAATTACCCCTTATTAGTAAGCCTTAGCTAAAATGCAAATGCTCTTTTCAAAACTTGCTGATTTGCAATTGAAATCAACTCTCTGCACAAAAAATAAATCTTTGTTTGAAACTGTTACATAGACAGAAAAGTTTGGAGACCCATTACTGTGTAACTGTCCAAAAGATACGAACTTGCTGCACTCCGATTATAAGAGCCAAGTCATCTGTGGGCTTCCATCTCCCAAGGTCTTTCGTAGCAACAGAATGAGGATGTCGTGGCCTGCGACTTCTTCGTCCACTAGATGTAGGTGGTTTATTACTACTACGTCGCTGTCTGTTGTCATTTAAAATGGGTTGGGGAGTGGAAATAGAAGTTGATGGTACACTACTGCTAACGTTAATATCTGCAACATTATTAGCATCCAACATGAAATCGTGATTGTTTTTTCAGACACAAAACACCTTTAAACAAAACACTTCATTTGGAACATACCTGTAGCAGGACTTGATGTTGACTGGGTGCGAGCACGAGCTACCTTAGAACCAATGCTTCCGGCCGTTCCTAAGCTTGATTCCACCAACTCATCATCAAAACGACGTCGTTTGATTGATCTTGAACTACTGCAAATCACATTAATTTATTTTTTTAAATCACACTGAGTTTAAATACATTGACAAATCTCATACTTTGAATCAAATTATTACTAGTGAATAAACAAACTTATTAAAAACCCTGTCTAAATCTGTACAATTAAAGAAAAATTAAGAATAACAAAATTTACAAATTCAACAAACACTGAACTGAATGTGCAGAAAAGTTAAAAATGTCATAAACAAAGAAAAATAATTACCTCTTTAAGTACAATAAAATCAAAACAAGGTGAAGTAATTAAAAAGCTGTTAAGTGAAAAGACCTCCAAAATTTAACAGCATTTATGTTCCATATTTGGCTGTCGACATGTTCATAGTTGATAAATCATCATATATACATCATTAGGCCCAAATTTTAAAAAAATATGCTAATATGATCAGAATACCATAAACATTTAACATGTGGCTGTCACGTACAATGAATGGAGACTTGCTGGTATAATAAAATAAAACTTCCATAAGGATATACCTGATGTTTCAATAATAATAATTAAAGAAAGGTGGTTGATAATCCAATAAATTCCTACCTCCTTCGCTTAGTGCCAAGTGCATCTAACTGGTGACTCTGGTCCAATGGGAGGCCCAATAAACCACTATAGGCATCAGTGTCACCAATTCCTACAGTCTGCAATGATGAAGATGATGCCAATTCCATTTTTGATCTGCAAATAAGATGCAACAACAATTTTGTAATTCTTTAAACAAATGTACTAAAATGGACTGATACTTGGCATATTAATATATAATCATCATTTATAATGATGCACATCCATAAGTTTTTCTTGTATTTATGGTTCAAACATTCATGCCAGTGAGATCTAAAATATTACATGGTGATAACATATTAAACTTTGATATCTTCATTCCTTCAATTTTTTATAAACCAAATCTGATAAAACGCATTGAAAGTTGTTAAATGTATCATTAACACCATGTGTCTCAAAATGTTCATTAAATGAAGTGTCAAAATTATCTTCTTCTTCACTCTATGATGAGATGTATCTATGTTAAATTACTTAAGTACTTATATTTAACTACAACTAGGGGGGGGGGGGGGGGGAAATGTATTATTGTAACATGGTCCTCACCATTAAAATTGTTAGAAGTGTTGTTAAACTTAAGATTTCCTGTTTACCATATTTTCCAGCTTTAAGAAAGGCTTTACAATCATCATGCAAAACATACAAGTTTCATTTATTTGTGAAATGACTGATACTTTACAACCCACCCATAATCCTTTTCACTCTTTTTATTAGTATACATTTAGATGACTTTTTAGTTACATGAGTACAGCACATTAACGTGATGGATAGTGTTATATATATATGGCCGTAATGTCTTATATGAAAACAGGTTTTTCCCAAGTATCTCAGGTATTTACAAAATAGTTACATTTCAAATTTATAAATTATTCCAAACAACTTTGTACTGTATTTATATAGGTTACATATTAGATATTTAGAAAGGTCTGATGATAAACGTCTTAAAACTTCAATACTATGTTCTCAAGCAAATATACAAAATTAACAAGTTTAATCACATGTATTCCGGTAGTATGATAAATCAGTTCCATGATTTTCATACAAACAAATAAGGAAAGCATCTGATAAAACTTGAGAGTGCTTGGGATAGTCCCTAATGTCAAATCATCACAAGTTCTCAAAATATATTCAAGAAACCATTGATGTAAACTCCTGAAATAACCTGTTGATGGTTAGAAGGATAGACAAACGACAAAATGAAAGTTGAACTTTTTTTATTTGTTCTCACTGAAACAAAATAAAAACATGTTTTTTCTCACAATGGAAAACAAAGGAAGTGGGGTTATGTTAGTAGCATAAACATTGCGCACCATGCAAATTTAATTACGAATCAATTACGTAAGTGTTCTACTCCACGCATTAAACAGACCGTAATGTTTTAAGAGCACGTTTAAAACAAAATACTTACAATATACACCTTTCTTTACCTCTTTTCAAGTCGATCAGTCGACCACACTCGACTGCACGAGTCAGGTGGTATGAATGGAACATTCTTCTTTTGTCATACAGTAACAGCGCGCGCTTTTATGAACAAAGTAGTCTAGGGTACATATTGTATTTGGACTTGATATTAAATTTACTTTAATTTTTTTCTTGTACAGAAGAACACTTTAGGATAAAATTATTCAATCTTTAAAAAAATAAAGCTATTCTATTAAAAAAACACAAATTAAATAGATGATTTTAGATTTCTAGGTATTTGGTCATTACTGGCAGGTAAAATGAATGAGACAAATAGATTTTTTAATTTTTATATTCAACTGGAATGATGAAAAATCTACAAATTTAAATGATGTGCAAATCTTGCTCATGTCAGATTTAAGTCAGTTTTTATTTTAGGAAATTTGTTAAGAACTAATAATTTTAGTAATAAATGAACATAAAAAATTAATATTTATTTTATTACCTTACCTTATATACCTTATAGATATGAATAAATAAATTCTATAGTCTGATTAAAGATATGACAGAACCAAAATGACTCCTCTTGTCATGTGTGCAAATGATCAAATAATATTGATCTTATGATATTTCCATGTTTTATTATCATGACCAGAGCTAAGAGAGACAATTAGGTAATATCAAGACACAAAGTACTGGCATAAATATAAAAGAAGAAGAAAAACAACAACAACTAAAGATATGTAATATCACTTATTTTTTCTATACTTTATGAATCACATATTTTATACTGTATTGAATTTTTCAGTAATGCTCCTCCTACTGTTTTCTAATGGTTTTAATTGTCAGACATTAAATGGGCTTATGGTTTACCTTGGCAATACAAAATGTATACAATGATTACCTTACCATATTGAATTCTCTTAAAAATAAATTAATTTTGTGAACAACACTGTAGGTGGGAAGGTTCATTTCTAAGAAGTTAACTTGACAGAGTGGAACAAATTCACTGCAAATACTGTAATGTCTGACCCCCAAGGCCTGCAATGAGGGTGAGCCTAAGTAAAAGAGAGCTTATTTTTTGGATATATTTTTATTATTTAATTTACTACCACTACTTGTGTTTGCAGTATACTTTTATAATGGGGGCCCGGATAAAAGTTTTGCAGGTGGGCCCACACTCATTTTGTTATGCTACTGAGCAACTATTGTACTTTACTCTACTGTACTTTATTTCTCAGTGATGATAGTAATGATAGGAGTGTAATGCAGTGCGATGGTGCGATGGAGTGCCCTTTCTTTCTCATAATAGTGTACTAATAAGAAAATTTTCAATAAAATGATGAGGATTTTGAAGTAAAATAACAATGTGTGTGTCACAATTTTAAGGACTTTATGGTGCATTGAGGATAGAGGAAAGATACTATATAGGAGAAATATACTCTTTCCACTATACATTGAGTAAATGTGATAAAGATATTTTTTAATCTGTGTTTCATTTCTCTGAGGAAGTTTTAACATTTATTGGATTATCTACGAGCCTAAGAAGATCAACTTTAAATTATTATTTTTCAGGCTTTAGGGTTTTGAACTTAATTAACATTTTCTGAGTGCCTCTTTCCTAAAGAAACCAAGCTAAAGATTAAATTCTGTGTGTAAAGTGTTTAAGTGGTTAAGAGCCAAGAATGCTACTTGCTATTCATTTAGAAAATATGCTTCAATAAAATATTTCCAAGTATTATATAAATTTCAATGTTATATTCATAAACTTGAAGGATTTAGGAATGTGTGTAAGGGAGTTCCCTATTCCCTAGCAGAAAGATTATGATGTCTAGAACAGTCTCTAGACAACATAATTCAGAAAATAAACAAATTTTTATTAAATATCTTGACTTGATACTGCCCAAGCTAATAAAATATTAATGAAGATTTTCAAGAATGCTCTCGGCTTTTAAGGTTAGATGGATTTTAGACCAACATCGCTAAAACGCGAGTAAACACAAAAGGTAATAAAAACACATCATTCTATTTTCATTTGTGCTTTGACTTTTTTAAGTAGCCGATGATATCAGGTCATTGTTGCAACTCCTTCCTTATAAAATTAATATTTCTAAGTAATTCATGAACGTCCTTCTCAAAGGACTCATGGCTTCAGAAATGTGCTTACCGCTGTTGAAAATAAATTCGTTTTAAAAGGCAAGAGGTGTAAGAATGACCTATTGTCATGTATATGTATATATTTTATATCATGAGAGGACAACACAATTACTGCAGCACTTCTAAATCTTCATCAAATAAAGGCCCATACAGAAAAGCAATAAAATTGTATAATAAACTCCCAGACTACATTAAGAAAGAAAATGAAAACAAATTTACAAACCTGTTGAAAAACTATCTAATTGAAATTAATGCCCATATAGTTTAAAACAACAACAACAACAACTATGACTTTGAGGTGACTTGAAACTTATGTATTATAAGTCTGTAAGCAATAATAATAAAATAAATAAATTCCTATATTATAATTTCAAGTGTCTTACCATACAATTTTCATATGTTTATTCATAAAGTAAAATAAAAGAGACATTGAAAAATAAAAATGCTCTTGAAATTAAATCGAATGAAAATAAATATATATATATATATATATATATATATATATATATATATAAAAAGCTATGTAAAGTCATTGCTGACTCAAAAGATTTATGTCTTGTCTTAATTTTATTTTTAATTTTCATTTTTAATTTTTATTTTTAATTTTCCTACCATTTAAAAATGCATTTAATTAGTACCATTAAAAAATACCATTATTTACATTTTTAAATGGTATTGAAAATAATGGTAAAGGTTTAATGAAAATAGCACTGGTTCTAAGAGATTCAGTCATTTATCTCAATTTGGACAAAAAACTTAAGGAAAAATTGTGGAGTCTTTCCTGAAAAAAATCTTATTTTCATGCATGCTTTTTTGGAAAATTGACATTTGATTTCAAATTATATATAAAAAATACTAATATTTTAAAAAAACTGTATGTGAATTCATTTTAAGTGCTCATATTACTGAAAAGATTGTATTAGTAAAATTTCTAGCTTTAAATAATGCTTTAAATAATAAAAGTTTTCCCAAAACAGAGTCCATCTTTTACCTGGACCTGTTCGCATTTCAGTCCTTGTGGACCCAAACGTGTGAATTGGGGTTCATTCATCATTGCTTTGTTCTGGAGTTCAGTAATAAAAGGATGGAATGGAAAATGAGGAGAGATGGAAATAACTCCCTCAAGCACTACATCCTTCAATTCTCAGAATTTCAGCTGAATGAAACACACATATGAATTCCAAACTGTATGTTCATTTATTTGTTACCATTCAATACATTCAAAGGTTCAGTGGTGAAATGTTTACACCACCTACCTAATTTCAGTCAAACATTGTCTACTTTGTTTAACTTTAACATTAAGTAAAAAAGACCTTGAAAAGACTATATTAACAAAGAACAGTGAATTCATACAAAAATGGTTGTGAGGGAATAGATTGCTCTTGCATACACTGTTGGAGTGCCTTTTATCAGGCTGTGTAAGAAAATGTCATGTGTTAACCTATTATATACTAATGGATAAATAAAGGAAATTGACTACTGTAATGGAAGTAGGTAAACAAGTTCATTTGGAACTAGGTATTATTTCCTGAGCAAGTTTCATATACTCATCTTACAATACATAATAATACACTTTAAGGTGAACATTAGGCGAAATGCCTGTCCTGCAAATAAATACAGCATGTAAGAAGCTAATGGTGCTTCAAGTTTGTGAACAGAATATAATACATTTACAGCATAGATTACTTTTACAATGAAACACATGTAGGTATAGGCAGTGAGTTGAATATTTTCAAGTACATTGTCACTGGTTTATAAAACTATCCCTTGTGGTACAATGATTACTCATTCTCCTTTTTAAATATCACTAAATGTTACCCTGATTTTAGAAGCATCAAGCAAGCTCATTGAATACACCTCATTAAAAGATGCATATATTTATACTACAATACAATACTGAAGAGCACTACTATTTGCCCTAAGATTACTGATTTGTCAGAAACTAAAGGACTATATTGCAACACTCTCCCACTCACACAAGGAAGATCAGCAAATATAAATTTTGCTCAAATTATGTATGATCCATTCTAAAGGTAGCATTGCATCGACAATTAGTAAATGAGGAAACAAAACAAGATTAAAAAATCTGAACACAAATCGCAAACAATCTAATGTCAGGATTATTTAATCTAGCAGATAATATTGTTCATGCTCTCTTAGAATGGTGATATTTGTTATCTGATTACATAGCAAATTGTAGCAAACTAATTATATTAACAATGTATGTCAGAAGGAACATTCTTACATAATCTTATTCTACATTTGGCAAGATATTGCAGAATATAGTCAAATCTCAGGAAATAGAACACATGAATATTTATGAGACAAATATATACAAAGAAATACTTTATTGTTTTACTTAATTTTCATAATATTGAGGATAAAAGAGATTCTCTTTTCCACTATTTTATTTTGGAGTAACTGTTTGTACTGGGAAATAAAATTTAATGAAGGGTTTCAAAAGCCCCTGTATGTGACTACTTGCTATACTGGAATTCCAATTAAATTGCATTTCTAGATTCTGCAAATAGATACACGTACTCATTCAAGTTAAATACAATGGTACTATTATAAATTGTCCTTTAATATTTTGTCTATGTTACACAAAACTGGAAACCTAATGTATTTTATACAAATGAAAATCAGAGTACTATGCAAGCAGTCTGTTATTTATATCATATATTGCTTTAGGCTGTCATGAGCTTATCAGAAATTTTAAAGAACTGCTAATATTTTGATGAAGACATTGGCTTCCTTGATCTACAAGAACTATTTTAACGTAGCAAAATCATGATATTATATTAATTCTGGCAGTGAGAAAAATTATGCAACTACCTCAGTTATATATGTGTGTGACATTCATTCATTGATCTAATTATTTTAAATCATTATACATGGTACAATGAAAATTTATAAAATATTACATAATCAAGATGACTTTCTGAATAACACTCACTAAAGGATTTTGTTGATATGATTGTTATTAGGTCAACTGTGGTTTAAACAAGTTAAAATGCCTAATGTGAAACACAGGTGAGCATTGTTCTGTAGCCAGAGATTTTAATAATACATTAAGTATTTAAGAAACAAATTCATTACATTTATAATCAAGTGTTAGTTATAGATTTTTTGTTGCTCAATCTGTATCACAGCCCATTAGTATACCTTATGTACATTGCATATTGTTTTATACCTATGAACATCATAAAAACAGAACAGTGATGACGTTTGTTGAAACTTATTAAAATGTATATATTATAACAACTGTCAATGAAGGTTTAAAGTGAAGTAGATTTAGTTAAAAGTAAATAACTTGTGTATCTGCTGGCAGTGCATTTGAATATCATTTATGAAATATATTTAATACATCAAAATTGATTTCTTAAAGAGCTCTTTCAAGTACATCAGACTAAAAGCTTGAGTACTTTCTGCATTCTGCAAGAAAAATGTTCTTTTTATAGAATTGTGAATAACATCAATCAAAAAGGTGAATCTTACACCATGGCAGTGATTGAGTTGAATCAGTTCATCAATATACAAACAGGATGAATCACTTGACTCAATAACAATACATACATTTTGTAATTAATGGGCTGTAGTAATTTACTACAGTTATCACATGAAATCTTCAAAACACAGGATGTAAAATGCAAGATTGTGTCAGAAATTTGAATTTTTTATCTTGAGATGTCTGTTCTTGATCTTTAAAATTGTCATCTTGAGACATGTTTTATTATTAAATAACTGTTTCTGCTTTTAGAAACATTAATTTGTTAAGCAATTTTTGAAAATACATTACAAAATGTTTCCTTTAAAACTAAATAAAAAATTGATATCTGGAATGTAAATTATATTAATTAGATAATTAACACTCTGGTCTCATATCCAGATAAAATCAGATATCTCTGTGGAGTTGTTGAGCCTCAAACTTATTATTTATATTTCACTAACATACAAGATGCAATTAAACAGATTTTGAATATGAAATTGTTTGAAAATTTTGATACAAATGTAGTACTATAACATTTTTGTTACCTCTTAGAAGTGAATACATAAAAGGCAATTCAATATAATCATTTTCAACATTCATTATGTTCATTTAACATCATTATGTAATATTTGTCATTGTCAACTTGTATACCATGTGAAACAATTTCAGGGTTTTTTATTAAGTATGTAAAATGTATAAGTCAATAATAACATATTCACTTTTTCTCAATAATTTTATCAACCACAAGACAAAAAATAAAAATATAAAATCAAAACTTCACAAGTTATTGAATTTTTAATTCAATATGCATCAGCTTGTATAGTTTAGAAAATAACAACACATTTCCTTTCAAATTTGAATATTTCAATATGAATTTTCAACATTTCCACTTGGGAAACTAATTTTTAAAGGTTTTAAGAGATAAAAATGAAAGAAATTTAATTCATTGCTTGAAATGTTTCATATTAGATGTTAAATTTCATAAATATAAATGTTTTTAAAAGTCATCTGGCATTCTTTTGTAGGAAAAAGTTTGAATGTTGTCCATTCAAATTAATTTAAATGTCCTTTTATGGTGTCGAAATTCTGTTTTAATGATAACTCACAAATTACTTATTACAGTAAAAAGCAATCATCTCACTGTACTGCCCAGACTTTATAAACATTGATGTTTTATAGTTGTGAAAACAATAATACAAGTTTTGGCACAGTATGTCATATAACTGTTTCTCTTTCCCATTCATTCCACAAACTTTTAACTATAATTTTATTCTTAACATGCATGGAAAATATATGAATTTCTTTAGCAGTCTAAAAAATGTAAGAAAACTTGGAAATGCTTAATGATATTATTCTACAGATATTAGGATGTCGTATTACAGACATTCTAGATGTCCAAACTGTAGAACATAGATATTTGGCTGTCATGTTGCCATACTTTCATAAGTAGGAGAACTCCAAGTCATTTAACGATCAATTCTATAAAAGGTAGATTTCAGAAAAAAAATTCTAATATAAATTACTCTACAGATAAAGATAATTTCTTACAACAAAGGAAATATCACAAGAAAAAGTGCCTCGTATATAAGCAACAAGTTCATTATTAAGCATGTATAAAAACTAAAAAGTTAGAATTAAAAATTGTGGGAGTTCTTAGAGATTTTGAAGACTAGCAATTAAGTAAATTAATATGATCTTTCAAAACAGATTTTAAACAGGGAGATGTCTCTAATTCTTTCAGTTTTTAAGCATGCTTAACCACCATCACTTGTACTTACAATGACAATATTATGGTAACATAATGAATAATGTCAAGATATGCAAAATTCCAATTATTCCAAGCATATGTACCTCTCCAGAGGGCTAGGGAGGCCAAGCTGACTTGTTGCGCCTGCCAACATTCTCTCTGATCCCATTGCTGAACGAATTGTCCCTCTACACATGAAACGCAACTCCAATGGCTGAGTCCAATATCTCATCATAGCAATTTTAAGTTGGTAGAAGACAGGTCCTAACACTTTGTAGCATTTGGCATGTCGAAACATAGTGCGCATTACATGACTATGCATTCTAGTAGGGTGTTCACCCATCACCTCTGAAATCAAATTTAAAGTACGGCAGCAATGTTCATCTAATTTTCTCCGTCGTATCACTCCACGTAAAAACCAAGTGAATGCAGAGCACTGTTCTGAAGGCAAGCTTGTAGAACCAACATTCTCCACACTCTCTACATTTCCACACACAGAGAGACCCAGGGGCCATACAGATGCACCGCCATTCAACAACACTCTGGTGAGTTCCACACTGTCATCCATGTAGTTGATGCTATACGACAAGAGGCTACGACCTTCCAAGTTTACAGCATTTGGGTCACTTCCAGCTTCTAGAAGCATCTTGCTGAGCTGGGCAGCTTGGTCAAATGCACCAGCCTTCAGTAATCTTCTCCCCAATATCAGAAGTGGGGTATTACCTTCTGTATCTGTTATTGATAGTGGGAAGAATGGCTCATGACAGATCTCAGGAGAAATCTTCTGATCTTGTTTGATATTAGAAAGAAATTTCACAGCCTCAAGTAGATTTTCCCAGTTACCCTGAATGTCACCTGGAACATATATAGAATAGTTTTAAAACATAAATAAAAAAATGAAAAAGTACTGAAGGAAACAGCACGTTTTATTTTGTAATTTTAAATTACTATTTCCAAAATAATATTTTAAAATATTTACCAGAAACTAAGAAATGCAAAGGTATTTGGTAATTTTCATGCACACTGGTCAGGTCACAGCCATTTGAACATATCTTTGAGAGAACTGAAAAGTTGTTTGCCCATGAGCAAGGTTGTTGTGATGCATCACACTTCTGAAAAACAAAAATGTTAAACTAGAATAAATCATATTTTACATCAATATTATTACCACAAGTAATGATAAAAATAACAGATTCATTTTATGTATATTACAGAAATATACCTGTTGTTTCACTTTGTCCAGATGAGATGACAGAAGATCAATCATGGGTACATTTCCACATGTCATGCACTCTTGTAAGACGAAATTTACATTCTTCTGATCTGAAATCATAAGCAATTTCAGTTTGTATCTAAAAGATGTTATAAAATGAATTAAATTTTAAAAACATTCTTTTAATTATTAAACTTTTATATATTTCAAGAATGACTTATCCATTTTATTTACACAAATGAAAGCACAAAACACTTCCTTAATTATATCAATTTATTTAACTTTATTAATACTTATCTACTTATTTATTTACTTTCTATTTATTTTATTAACTTATATTATATGAAAAAAGTTTTGCAATGGAAGAGCATGTGCATTCATTGGTGTCATAATTAAGAGTATTCCTCTATTCTGGACTTACAATACTTAAAATTTCTGAAGAAAGGAAAAAGAAGATATCAAAAAGAAGTTAACATTAATATATTTTGTCTTCTTTTACATTTTTCGCATGGGACTTCTTATGACAATGAAACAGAAAATGTGAAGCAGTGTTAGAAAAATTGTGAGAATAAAAACGATCCAACTCTAAATGCACCATGATACATTATCGGTATGGTAATAATGTAATTTATCTCAAGGGTATAAAAAATACTAATTCTTGGTAATCCCACAAGAGAAATTTATCAAGAATCTCATCTCAAAAGATGAATATTTAGCAAGCAATGCTAAAAAGCAAACCAAGAGTTTTATGATCCATGAATACAAAAATGATAAGGGAACAAAGTATATTCAATTTTTTACAAAATTAAATAAGAACTTTTCTCTAGAGAGTTTTGTCCATCTCCCACTTGTTCATGAAGCATGGAAACACTAGGTGCAATGTTTTTTTATTTTTCAACACATGGAGTGCATCTCTCAGTTGTGTCACAAAAGTACAGAAAAGTTCACTAGCAGTTAGATGATGCTGTTTCTCTTTTGCAGTTCTGGTTTAAGCAGGATTGCTGGACTGACATGATAAAAAAGAGTTTATATTGTCACTTGTCAATGAAGACAATCTACACATTTGCACATTTTATGATTTTTATATAATTTGAATAATAGATTTTATTTCTTTGCCAAGCGTGTTTTGTGTGTTCTGAACATTTGTTTTATTAGAACTTTTGAATCTCTTAAGTTTTATGTTAGGAAGTTTTAGAAATTCGAAGTAAATTTTCACTGACAAAATGTTTTCAAAATATATTTTGATTATCTTCATTTAACAATTATATGGTGAAATTACATTCAGAATATATTTTTAAAATTATATGCTTCTAATTAATGATGCTATGAACTGTACTATGTACTGAGCTGAAACTTTTTTTTTTTCATTCACAAAAGTTATTATTTGTTTGCTAAGAGTTTTTGCTTTTAATTCAAGCTACAATGTCAGTTTTCCTATCTATTATTGCAAAAATCAGTAGCAACATGGAGAAGAAATCTTCAACAACCAACTACCAAGAACCTCCCACTTTTGCAGCAACAATAAACAACAATCCTCAACGACCAACAACAATCAACAACTGACAACAATTCAACAACCAAAGTTCAATAATCTGGAGCCGTGGAACATTTATTTGAAAAATAAATTAATATAATAATTTTGAAGAAATTATATATATTATATGCATTATATGAAATTATATAAGTAAATGAAATTATGAAAAAGAGTTCAATAGAATGCTGGAAAAAAGAAAATAAAAATAAAAAAATGCATAAGTGAATATCTTCCAGATGCCTAGATACTCTATCTACGTGAACTGTTAAGAGAGTGGTAAGCTCAGATTCAACTTACATCTCTGCAGTAAGGTTTGACTCTCAGGGAGTGTTGCAGTGATCACTCTGATGAACCTGAATATTTGCTGGTGAAGACCGAATCATCAACCACTTTGCTATGAATTGTTTCATTTGGACTCTAGCAGATTCAGAATGCTGTGATCAAATGGCTTAGATGGTATTTACAATAATCTTCAATTACTGGACAAAAGTAGATAGAGAATAAAAGTCATCATGGATTCTTTCAGAATGAGTAAATGTGGAAGGTGATCAAAAAGCTGGAGAGATCAAATTGTATACAATATGGTTACAACAGACCCCAAGATGAAGAACAAGATAAATGGAAGTGGAGCAAGATGTGCATTGCCTGTAAATTCAAATTTTGAACACTTAAAGGGAATGTGCAGTTAAAGAAAAAAGTTCTGAAAATTTTTAGATGTAAGTACCCCTCAAAATTTTCAAATGTATTTTCGGCATACATCTAGAAAGTCCACAGATTTACATGTGTTATACATAGTTTTAACTATATTTATGTCAAATAGATTAAAAAAGCAAATAAGGTTATCGTTAAATGAGAATTGGGTAAGTATTTCTCCTGATGTAATCTGACATCAAGATAAACACGAGATTCCAGAAATTCTTCAGTCAGCTCTTCTCATTCCATGAAAGCTGCACTTGCATTGATACAATCCCAAAACACCAAAGTGAAATGCTCACGTGTAGCCTGGCTTCATGTTCAGGACCGATTTCAACTGTATTCGAATTGCTATTGGGTTCTTGTAGAGTTTTACTTTTTGACTCACTTGCTTTTATTAGTATTTCTGAAGGGGGTTATTCTCTCCTTTCTTTTATGAGGAGATTACTTAAAGTCATTTCAAAGTCAAAATTGAACATTTTAAATAATATTAATGGAAAATGATTATAATTATTTTGATAAAGATTGATCTGAATTCGACTTCAAATTTGTTGTCAATGGGAAGGAAAAGAAAAGCACATCCCCAAATGCATGAAGATGAAGGGAACAAAAAATTTAGTTCTGCCTTTTGAAAATCATTCTGTAAATCAGTGCAACTGTAGGGTTTGCAACACTTCCATACCGGCAGGTGGCAGAGGATGGTTAATAGATGTTTAGTAACTGGAAAAAGACTAACGGGTCAATACTAAAGGACAACTAGCACCAGCAGCTCATCCTCAGGAACGCATAGAAATTTTTACTTCTGAGAAGTAATACCTAGGTCATTGAGATGATCCTCCTAAAGCCAATTTTCATAAAATAAAATATACATATACAAAATCAGTTTTTAAACATGTCCTCAATACCTCTAAGTTTTTCAGAAATAATGAAGTTCAAAATTAACTTCTAATAGAACCCCTTAAAACATGAATTACAAAATTAATAAAAAAATAATATATTGCATTTTTATGCTGCTTCAGAAAAAAATACCTGGGGCTGACAATTAATGAATTTCCAAGACATTCCAAAGATGTGTTGTATTTTTTGTAAATTCTGTGACCTTGATTATGCTTTTAAATCTATCCATTAATACATTAACTAAATTCATTAAATATTAAAGTCACTAAATATTAAACTTCATTCAAGCTAAGAGATTCCTGTCCAATATTGTTAATTTATTTTCATGGTATATTATTAATTTGTTCACGCCAAATATTGTTTTATGTGTTTAATGTGAAATCTTGAAAAGCAGTCATGTCGATCAAGGATAAATAAACAATTAACAAACATATTGTGTTCATATACAACGATTTAGAGTTTTAGTTTACAAGAATAAATCTGTTGATGTTGGGTTATCAATTTGAAGAGTGGAAGAAAGTAAGAAAGAAAGAAAAAAAAACTACACAACTACACACGTGGCATTTATCTCATTTATTATTGGTCTCACGCTCTAGTTGTTGAGATTTTGTCAACGGTTTTATGTCGTGTCGCGTGCCCACTTCGTGTCTTCCAACCCGGGGCTGCTCTCCGAGGCGTTTCGTATCGATTGGAGCCGCGCTGGCCAGGGGCGGGGGGGCGGGGCGGGGCGGGGCGGGGGGGCGGGGGGCGGGGGGGCGGGGGGGCGGGGGGGCGGGGGGGCGGGTGGCTCGGGGGGGGGGGCGGGGGGGGGGCGGGGTGTGGGTGTGGTGTGGTGTGGTGTGGGTGGGGTGGGTGTTTGGGAAGTGGGGCGCGCAGGAAGGGCGCGCGAGGGAGCAGAGTTCATCGGCCTGGCACTTCAATCAATACCGCCCGCGCCCGGGTCGCCTCCCTCGGCCGCTCTCCTTCTCGCCCTCGCCTAGGCCTTCCCCTCGTTCCCCTCCCCACTTTCACAGCGAGCTTCTCCTACCGCGATGCGCTGCCGAAGGGAAGGAGAGAGGGGGGGGTTCGAAGAGGAGCGCGGGCAAAGAGAAGGTGGTTTCCCATTTTCAGCATTCGGCGAGTAGCGCGAGCAGCGAGCAACTGCTCGCCCGATCCCGAGTGTTCTACGAAGGTTCGCTTTCTTTTGAAGACTTACACGCATCAGATAGAGGTAGCCCCAAGTGTTTGGTGCACGGGACGTAGTAAGCAATTCATTCCCACTACTCGCGATTCGGTAAGCGGTCGCTTGCCATCAGTCTTGTCGTCAGAGTTCAATGCAAATCAGTCTTACAATTTTCAAGCCAATTTTACAAGCCTACTTTGCCCTACCCGATAAAAAAAAATTAGAGCCGATTTTGAGAAAATCTTTTTAAAATTGCTTTTATGTCGTGAAAAGTAGGTGAAAACTACTAATAAAAAAAATGGACATGACCGCATTTAAAGATCTAATTGTGAAAATCAGATTTCATTGAGAAGAAAAATCTCTATTTTCAATATTGTTGTAGGGAGACCTGAAAAAAATAAACTTCTCGATTTTCGAACATTCATAGAATTTAAAGAAAATCAGATCTGCCCAATTTTTAAAATAATAATTTGCTCTAAACGATAAAAATATATTCCAAAACTTTGAATCCACTTTTGAGGGACAATTAAAAATATTATTGAAGCGTCGTGTAAAATACCCCCAAAATCCAAAACATTAATTTCAAATTCAAGGGTGGTATTATCAGGCAGATTGATTGAGGGAATGTCAAATGTGGTGAAAATCCTGCTGATTCTTTAAACGGTAGCATTGTGCACAGAATGTCAGACGGACGGATGGACGGACGGACAAACGTTTTGTCGTAAATCAATTTTTATCAAGGAATCACAAAATATGGATTCTGACATTACATCAAATTAAAGGAAGCACTAATTATTATAAAGGATTATCCACTTTTTCGGTACTATATCCGAATGTCGTATCACAGCTGACTTAATAAGCGGATAGCTGCTCTGGGGCGACGGTGTTCAGAGATTTGCTCTTTAAGAGAAGCGATTTTCAATTTATGAGTGAAACTCTCAGCACCAGCAAGTTCACCAGGGTTCTGACCTACCCAACATTCCGTGATTGCTCTCTCATCGTCCTCCTGAGTTTGAACCGACCAGGAATTTACACAGGAAATTTAATGTTCAGCCCTACTGTGTGAGTCAAATGGGTTTATTTCAGACTCCGAGGCCTGCAACTAGCCACAGGGCATTCGCGCTGAAAGTCCACTCTTATGGGCTTTCATTCAAAATACAATACCGCTACTCTGGATGACTAAAGTATTCGCGAAATTTAACTGTTTGAAGAGGATAGTTTAGAAACGGAAGGACTATACAACTCGCGATGTCATGAATATAGACCTGTGTCGGTTTTCAGAGGTTATATTTATTGATTTGACAGGTGAACTGGATAAATTAAAAAATAATACATACTACTTCGTAACCGAAATACCATTAGCGTCAACCGTTTTGAATGTAGACAAACTGTAAACAAACGACACAGATTGCATTGTTATCTTATGTCTTTGTCATCAAATCTTCGTTAATACTCGTACAATATTAATAATTTTTAAATAGAAGTTTTACAATCAAACCTTTAAAAATAAATCCACTCTTTAAGAGAAGTTAAAATTGTGAGGACACATACTTCTACCTACTTAAAAAATCATGGAACGATTTTGACACGTCGCCTCTTCCACGCTCGCAACTAAGTAGTCATTGTATACTAAATAACAGAACGGAGATGAATACATCCTACAGAAAACTGAAAAAAACAACTACAAAGTTTCCTGACTTTACGAAAATCCTCACACTCACCTGACCCGTGGTGTCGATGCGAGTGGTGATGATGGTGGTGATGATGATGGTGATGGTGGTGGTGATGGTGGTGGCGCGAGGGCGGCGGGGTTGGGGCGTCGGGCGGCGGGGCCGGAGGGTGGGGCGGGGGCGTGGCTGCGGGCGGCCTCACTCCAGTTAGCTCCAGCCGCAGTAGTTGAGACTAGCAGGGTCGCCTGCGTCCCTGCTCAAGCACACACACCATTACGGCTGTACATCGTCACCCAACAACACAAAACACGGAATCGTTAAAAACGTTAGTCCCGTAAGGATAATGCATATTATATCTCGGTTTTTGGCGGAGTTCCTCCTCCGCTAGAACAGGAGATCCGGCGCCAACATACACTCCTGCTTGGGGAAGGTTGTTCCTCCTCCAGGTATCTCTGCGAACAGGTATCGTATCCAGCTGGGACAAGCTCAAAGCCACTGACTGGTCTCCCGATACGCACGATAGGGTAGAGTCTTTAAGTGTGCGTGAATGTTAAAGGGAATGGAGGGGAACGAAGGGACAAAGATGAGGAAGGAAAGATCGTACGCGGCTTGTGGACCATTAGTTACCGAGCTGCTCGGGAATTTGCTTGGTGATGATAAGAGAAACCACGGAAAACTACCGAAATCCGTCACCGTCGGGATTTGAACCTCAGGACCTCCCGGTCAGAGATACTGCAGTGGAAACAGTTGTTGCTATGAGTTTCCTCAATTGGTGTGTCTCAGAATAAATGCTACAATCGTTTAGGACAGGGAGTTAGGGGGGTTGAAAGAGATCACTCTTGGTAATGAACATTTGGTGTGAAAGTTTATATAAAGAAGTTACAAGGCACTTGATACTGGTTGGTAGGCAACCCATCGTACATAGATGTTTGGCAGATAATTACACGAAATTTCTTTTGAGTGTATACCTGCCATACATCAATATAAGATGGGATTGTCTTTATTTACAAATTCCTTAGATCCTCTTATACGAAATTTCCTTAGAAAGGTACGTTTGTTGCATGTATTCTGAGAAGTACTTAATTGTCAAAGGTGTAATTCGAACCTTTTCAATATTTTATTTGGTGAAGTCGAAATAAGCTGTCATGGATCTTATGCAAAATATTAAATCTTGAATTTGAAGAAAATAACAAGCTTTTGTTGAACTTCAAGTTGAACCTTCTAGATGAAGGGATAAGATGGAAAGGGAGACAGGAAATCATTTCGCACGAAGTACGTAGGAATTGTAAAATTCAATTATGGATATTTGAATGGTTTCAACTTGAATTATCATAATTTGCCTTCTAATTTGGAACGTGAAAATTCTTGTGCTCAGACAGAGGAATGGTGGAAGCAGCTGTAAAACACTCAATAAAAAACAACAAATATTTGATGAGATTATGCTAAGTTTGATTAATCTCCTTCTGATTTTTGGCAGTTATGAATCAATTGAATGTCTTGTAAGGAATAGTGATTACTGTTCTCTACTGTCATTAAAAACTAAAATAATAGGGATCTCGTTCTCTGGGAGGGGGAAGCCGGGAAGAATCGATACGGAGGATACTGGACCATATCGTAGAGAGCCCATCATGGGGCCAGGACGGCGGTCCTCAAAGCGATCGTCAGCCTATGGGAAGAAGCAATGAAAGATGCACTGATGCGTCGCAATGTGGCTCAGGAGGGCGATGAACCTGGCGCCCACGGGCGGAGGGGCTGGGCGGGGCGGGGCGGGACTCCGGGGAGCCGCGGCCGGATGGGGGGGGGGGGGGGGGGCCCCGGGGGGGGGCGCTGACGGTTGCTGGGGAGCAGCACCAAGGTTACGCCCTAAGCAGATGTGGCCCGCCGCCGTTCCCCGCGCGCCTGAGAGGATCGAGGCGAGGAGGGCGGTGGAGCGAATGACAGGAGTGGGAGAAGACGAGGAGGAAGTGAGAGAAGAGAAAGAAAAGAGTAAGCAAGGAGAGGGAGAGAGTAGAGAGAGAGAGAGAAGAGAGAGAGATGGAAGGAGAGAGAGAGCAGAGAGAGAGAGAGAGAGGAAGAATGAAGGAGAGGAAGAGAATTAAACACGGACGCTAGGAGGAGTACTGGAGAAAGCAAACGAAAGAGTTCATGAGGAAAGTAGGGAGAAGTTAGTGTCAAGCCGATAGAAGCTGCAGAGCAGGTGAGCATAGGCGCGAATGGAATCGAGTGATTTTTAAGACGGGAAGAGATTCAATGCCAAAGCACAATGCTTCTAGATATACGTGAGATTAGAAGGCTTACGTGGGGTGACGGCAAGAGGCAGGCCGCGAGCGAAACGCATTGCAAGACAAGTGATATGAAGCCAAAAATTTAAACGGTTAGAAAAGTGAAAGGAGGGAAGTGAGAGCGGAGGTCCTAAAGAGGTTGAACTAAAACGAGTCGAGAGAGCATTGAAAAGAGAAGAGGCACGAATGGCGGAGATAAAAAAGAGGAGGAGGAGAATGGAGAAGGCAGGAGAGAACAATGTAGAATGAGTAGGACGGGAAAGGAATGAAGACCGACCTGGGGGGGGGGGTGAATAACAGGGATAGGAGAGCGAAGGAGGAGGAGAAGGGGAGTTATGGTGCGGCGGGGAGGACGGTGGGTGGGGATGGGGAAGTAGTGGAAGCAGGGGAGTTGGCTTGGAGCGGGGAAGTTGGCAAGGAGGTAAGAAAGCGGGGCGGGGAGGTACGGGGCGGGGAGGAAGCGTTGCGGGGGAGAAGACCGGGCTGGGAGGAAGCTGGCGCGGGGAGAAAAGCGGGGCGGGCGAGAAAGCGGGCGGGAAGAAGCGTGCGGGAGTGGAAGCGGGGCCGGAGGAGCGGGGCGCGAGGAGGAAGGGCCGCAGGCGGCTGAGGGGAGGCGAGGCGAGGCGCAGCGCTGCGATGCGGCTGTCGGAGGTTCCGGTACCCGCGGTTAAATAGCGTTGGCGGCTTAATCCGAATATTGACCTCTGGCGACGTCGCCGCCGCGGCGCACTCGCTCGCTGCCTGCTAGCCGCTCAGCCGGCGGGGCAGCAGGGCGCTTCTCTGAGCCTTCGCTTCGGCATATCGGGCCAGCCCACGGCGCCACCGTTATTTCTGCCCCGGCGCAGCACCAATTGTATTCGCAATCGCACAGAGCCTTTCCAAATGTTTTATTTCAATTCAAAATAAGCATAACTCCTATTGTAGGTATTCTCTGGGTCGGAAACGCGAAACTATACAAATATTTGCATTATCTAAACCAAGATGTGCATTTCTGTGTAGGAAAATACATCGGATGCGTGTGATCAACAAATCAATCCATATCAAAATTAATACCATTGTTGCAGCTAACTTGGGACACAATGGGTAAGTGAGACAAAGGCCAATTGACAATTAGCTTCCCAGTGGATATTTTATCTTGATGTTTCATTGCTAGAAGCACTGTTCCTGGCTTGTTTTACTGATACAGATATTTTGCTCAGTCACGGTAAGTAGCAGTTCAAATTTAATGAATTATTCGAGAGGCTTAAAAGTCATTTCTCTTATTTTGTTAATTTTTTGTTCTGGTTGATATTTACTTATTTTTGTTCATATTTCTAATATTTTGTGAATGTGACATTTTTATAATATTCACATTAAAAACAATTCATAATGCTTGGGTAACACTGATTGAGGTATGAATCTACTCATTTATTTAAATTGAGCGTATAATAGGAAACGTATTTCATGAAATACAGGACACGCGCAAAAGCCCCTATTGATAAAGTTTATCCTATACACATAAAAATTGTCCCGTCAGGTTCAGTGTTATTCACCACCAAGTCCAACAAGTATGTATTTAGAGGAGTATTTTCTTGACCGATTGAACTTTTTATAAAACAGTTACTTTATTAAATGAGATTATAAATAATTTATGGAATTTTTACCGACGAGGCGTTCCTCAAACTAATGTACGCGTTTGCCGGGGTGTATGCGATAGGCTTGTTAGGTAGGCACCATTGAAAACAAACATCGGGAAATTGGAAATTATTTGGAAATAATAAGATAGCAACGTCCTTTTTGTTCTATTGAGACTTTTCAGTAGCATTCCAGTTATACCTGAAGGGAATACTAAATGAGTAGATATCCAGTTACACGTCCCATCTGCATGACCATTTAATTTAAATTTATACCGGGGCTGGCGCAGGAAAACCTGGCCACCGTGAGCGGATGCAGGCAGTTGGGGGAAATGGGCTTTAATGCCAAAGGTTCCCATTGTTGCCAAGTGTAGTCTCGCATTGTTGATTCATTGTTTCAGAGCTTTTGCGGCTATTGAATACCTATATTTCTCTTTTATAATACAAAATCCGTAAAGAATTTGATTAGAGACTTAATGATATTGATTGAAGATTTGATATAAAGTGTCCAGGGAGATTGTTTTCTCTTCAACAGAAAATGCAATGGTAGCCGAATTGCTCATGTATGGAAATGCGGGCCACTTTTGAACAAAGAAGCTATTCTAAGGTTTCCATTACAGCCCAAAATCAGGATATTTTGTGAAAACAGGTGACTTACCACAGAAGTATCCCAATGGCAAAATGCAAAAATTTATTCGAGCCCCGTCCGTTTATACATCTTCTGTCATCGCAGATAACTCCATAACGAATAACCCGAAACCCCTAATAAATACAATGTAAATTATCTGGTAATACCAGGAGTGCTTTTGGAAAATTTCCAGAGCACTTAGTAACCTTTATATAGGACTATTCCACGAAATGAAAGTTACGTTTCACCAGAGTTCCAAAATTAAATAAATATTTGAAAATAAACTTGAAAGCATATTAAAATACCAAAGAGGTTCATGTTTATAGTACATACGCGTTTATTCCTCATTACACAGCGATTCGATACAGAGTCAAATCCGCCAAACATTTGAAAAATATCTGAAAGCATTGTTACAATCGAAGAGGTTAATGGTTTATACGAATTTAGTGCCTTCGTAGCAGCCCTACATACGCCGGTTGATTGCAATATCCGAACACAGCGATTGAAACATACCGCCTCTTACGATAGATAAGTCGCAGCTTATAAGGCCGCGGCCAGTAAGGGAGGAGCGGTAAGAAAAGTCAGATAAAAAAAGATAACTTTTTTAGATACACCACCCTGATTCGGTTATTTTGATTATGTAAGTAAAACAATATTTGGTGTTTTAATTTCACGAGTGGAATAGTCCCAAGCAGACGTTTTGCTTACCGCTTGTCGCGTGT